GTTCGGAACCCCCTCGGAGGCCACGATCCTTGTGAGGGGTGTCAAAAAACGCATCCGCCGGAAACTCGCACCCCCCCCCCCCACCCCCCCTTCCCCGGCAGAGCCACCCGGGCAACCCCCCCAGAGGCTGAGGCTCAGCCTCGAGGCTGTAGCTGAGACTCCTTGAAACTCACACGCCGGATCGGCGGATATAGTATTTCTCTCCAGGACCCCTGTAGGGTTTCTATTGGGTCCCTGAAGGGTTTCTATCGGATCCCTGTAGGCTTTCTATATAATCCCTCTTACGGTTTCTTTATCTGCTCCCTGTAGGGTTTTTTATTTTTAAAAAGGGTCCCTTTCGATTTTTATATAAAAGACAGGGTCCGTGTACGGTTTCTATCGGAGAACGGGGGATTGTGGAGTCGCAGGGGTTCAAAAGCGCGCGCGCGAGGGTTTCGCGCTGAGTTCGCGACTGTTTCTGTGCAAACTCTGCTCTGTGTCGTCGTCGTCCTCCTCCTCCTCCGCCTCCTCCTCCTCCTCCCTCTCCCCCTCCTGCTACCTCTCTGCCTTTTTTGTTTTTTTTTCTCCTGGCGCCCCCCCCCCAGATTTTTTTTTTTTTTTTTTTTGTTCTTTTTTTTTAGGGGGGGGGGGGGGGGGGGCCAGAGGAAAAACGGAAGGCGACGTGGAACATATGCCCTCCCCCTAGAAGGATTCCTATTGGACGCCCCCATAAGAAGGATTCACAGTGAAATCCTCGGCATAAGGGTTCCTATCGAAACCCTCCACTGAATGATTCCTACCGAAATCCTCCACATGGATTCCTACTGAAACCCTCCACAGCGGTAGTATCATGGTAATGGTAATGCTAATGGTAATGGGAATGGGAGTGGAAATGGTACTGGCAATGGTAATGGTAGTGACGAATGGCAATGGCAATGGCGATGGTGATGGTAATGGTAATGGCAATGACAGGGGTAATGTAATGGTACTGGTACAGGTAATGGTAACGGTAATGGTAATGGTAAGGGGGTAGCGATTGGCAATGGCAATGACAATGGCAACGGTAATGGTAATGACAATGGCAATGGGATTGGCAATGGCAATGACAATGATAATGGCCATGGCAATGGCAACGGCAATGATAAGTGTAATGATAATGTCAATGGTAATGGGAATGGAAACGGGAATGGGAATGTGAATGGGAATAGGAACGGGAACGGGAACGGGAATGGAAATGGTAGTGGTAGTGGTAACGGAAATGGGAATGATAAGGGTAAGGGTAAAGGTAAAGGTAGAGGTAAAGGTAATGGTAATGGTAATGGAAATGATAGTGATAATGGTAATGGTAATGGCAATGGTAATGGTCATGATAATGGGAATGGCAATGGAAATGGTACTGGCAATGGTAATGGTAGTGGCTAATGGCAATGGCAATGGCAATGCGAATGGTACTGGTAATGACAGAGGTAATGGTAATGGTACTGATAATGGTAACGGTAATGATAGTGGTAACGGGGTGGCGACTGGCAATGGCAATGACAATGACAATGGCAACGGTAATGGTAATGGCAATGGCAATGGCAACGGCAATGGGAATGGCAATGGCAATGGTAATGGCCATGGCAATGGCAATGGCAATGGTAATGGTCATGGTCATGGTCATGGTAATGACAGTGGTAATCATAATGGTACTGGGAATGGTAATGGTGACGATAACGGTAATGGTAATGGTTATGGCAATGGTAACGGGGTAGCGACTGGCAATGGCAATGGCAACGGCGATGGCAATGGTAATGGTAATGGGACTGGCAATGGCCATGGCAATGGCAATGGCAATGGTAATGGTAATGGCAATGGTAATGTGAATGGGAATGGGAACGGGAATGGGAATGTGAATGGGAATGGGAACGGGCATGGAAATGGCAGTGGTAGTGGTAACGGAAATGGGAATGGTAAGGGTAAGGGTAAATGTAAAGGTAGAGGTAAAGGTAATGGTAAGGGTAGTTGTAATGGCAGTTGTAATGGTAATGGTAATGGTAATGGTAATGGTAATGGTAATGGTAATGGTAATGGTAATGGTATTGGGAATGGGAATGTGAATCGGAATGGTAATGGTACTGGCAATGGTAATGGTAGTGGCGAATGGCAATGGGTATATGGAGTGGCGGAATGGCAATGATGGTAAGGGTTAATGGCAATGACCAGTGGTAATGATACTGGTCCTGGGACATGGTCATGGTGAGGATAACGGTCAATGGTAATTGGTTATGGCACTGGTACCGGGGGGGTAGCGACTTGGCATATGGCAATGTCGCCGCCGATTGGCCATGGTTATCAGTCTGGGACTGGCCATGACATGGGAATGGGAACGGGAACGGCAATGGCAATGGCAATAGCAATGGCCATGGCAATGGTAATGGTAATGGTCATGGTCATGGTCATGGTAATGGTAATGGTAATGGTAATGGGGATGGGAATGGGAATGGGAATCGTAGTGGTAATTGGAACGGGAACGGGAATGGAAATGGTAGTGGTAGTGGGAAAGATAATGGCAATGGTAATGGAAATGTTACTGGTAACGGTAATGGTAATGGCAATGATGATGGGAATGGGAATTGTAATGGTGATGGCAGCGGTAATGGTAATGGTAATGGCAATTGTGTTGGTAATGTTAATGATAATGTCAATGGTAATGGTAGTGGCGAATTGTAATGGTAATGGGAATGGTAATCGTAATGGTAACGGTAATGGTAACGGGGTGGCGACTGGCAATGGCAATACCATGGCAATGGCAACGGCATTGGTAATGGCACTGGCAATGATAATGGCAATTGTAATGGCAATGGTAATGGCACTGGCAATTGTAATGGCAATGGTAATGGTAATGGTAATGGTAAAGGTAAAGGTAAAGATAAAGGTCAAGGTAATGGTAATGGTAACGGTAATGTGATGGGAATGGGAATGGGGATGGGGATGGGAATGGTAATGGTATTGGGAATGGGAATGGAATGGGAATGGGAGTGGGAGAGATTGAGAGAGAGAGAGAGAGAGAAAACGAGAAAGGAAACATCAGCATAATGATGAGGAACAACGTGACATATCGTAAATTTTCGTCTAAAACCCACAGCGACACCACAATCCCCCGGCCTCTTCTATCGGATCCTTATATGTATATAGGATCCTTGTAGGATTTCTATCGGGTCCCTGTACGGTTTCTATCGTATCCTTGTAGGGTTTCTATCGAATCCCGTTTTTTATTTAAAAGAAATAATATTATCGGGTTCCTGTACGGTTTCTATAGGATGCCTGTAGGGTTTCTATAGGACGTCTTGTAGGGTTTCTATCGGATGCCTTGTAGGGTTTCTATCGGATGCCTGTAGCGTTTTTATCGGATGCCTTTAGGGTTTCTATAGGATGCCTGTATGGTTTCTATCGGATGCCTTTTTAGGGTTTCTACAGGATGCCTTCAGGGTTTCTATGGGATGCCTGTAGGGTTTCAATAGGACGCCTGTAGGGTTTCTACAGGGTGCCTGTATGGTTTCTATAGGGTCCCTGTAGGGTTTCTATAGGATGCCTTTATGGTTTCTATAGGATCACTGTAGGGGTTCTATAGGATGCCTGTAGGGTTTCTATAAGATGCCTGTAAGGTTTCTATCGGATCCCTGTAGGGTGTCTATAGAATCTCTCGCTTCTCTAGCGCTCACACGTAAGCCACCACTCCGATGCAATACCGGAGTCCTGAGGGACACTCCGTTTTTTGTTTGTTTTGTTGTTTTTGTTTTGTTTTTTTATTCATTCCCGTCGTTGTTGTTGTTGTTGTTGTTGTTGTTGTTGTTGTTGTTGTTGTTGTTGTTGTTGGGGGCGGGGGTTGGGAACCCCAGGGCCCGGGGACGGTTCCTGCCCCCCCCTGGAGGATAGCGCTGGAGGAGCCCGAGCGCCGGGGCCCAGGGAAGGTCCCTGTCCTTGTTGTTGCTGTTGAACTCTCCCGTTTGAAGAATAACTATGATTGATCCTCCCTCTGGTAACCAATGTAGTTTTTCCTATTGGATTGCCCGTCCTGGGGCTCGCACCCTGGTTCTTCGCAGGGAAAGTCTTGAGCCTCAAACTGGGCGGCGGGCCCCCGAGCTACAGCAACAACAACGCTCCCGCCTGATATTTCCTCACAATTTATTGAGACAGCAGGCTCTTGCTTGAGACTTCTTTTCGATATACTCAGGAATCGCGCTCTCGCTTGAGACTTATTTTGCAGTTTATTCAGATGCCGCTCCTCGACACGGGCGGCGGACCCCCCCAAGTAAACTACAACAACACGCCGGCCCCTCGGCCAGCCAGGCCGATAAACCGTGCGACTCCCTCGCTGCTTGCCGGGTGCCAGCCTGTCGTTCCTTCCGCGTTCTCCTCACTTTTGCTTCTCCTCCTTCACCTACCTCGCTCTCTCCGTCCCTCCTTCCTCCTCCTCCCCCTCCTCCTCCGCCTCGTCCTCCTCCTCTTCTTTTTTTTTTTTCGCCCTCGTCCTCCTCGTCGTCGTCCCCCTCCTCTTCCTCCTCCTCCTCCTCTTCCCCTTCCTCCTTCCCCCGGTCGTCGTCGTCGTCGTCGTCGTCGTCGTCGTCGTCGTCGTCGTTGTCGTCGTCGTCGTCGTCGTCGTCGTCGTCGTCGTCGTCGTCGTCGTGGTCGGTCCCGTGTCCGTCCCTCTTGGGGTCGGGCTGCCGCCGGTCAGCGCTGCCGCTGGCCAGGCCGACGGTCCGCGGCCGCTCCGCCGCTTTTCGCTTGCCCCAGCTTTGGGTAGGGTCGGGCCGGAGGCCGCGCCGAGGGTCGTGTCGTGTCAGGGTCTGCTGGCCCGCGCGGCCCCCCGGTGGTTGCGAGCCCGCCGGGGCATCGTAACCGCCGAAGGGTCAGCCAGAAGGCATTTTTTTGGCACTTTGCCCGCAGCCGCCATCTCGTGCTCAAGAACCGCGGCACCTTGTGCTCAAACACCGCGCCAGCTACACGGCGCCGCGCACACCGACTGGAACCTGGGGACGATGTTCAGCACCTTCGACGACGCGTTTGCCGCGCTCCCCGCGGAGGTCAAGGAGTGGGTCACCGGCAGCGGCCTCACTGACCACGTCATGGTGGCCGACTCCGTCACCCCGGAATACCTGCGCGACCACGCGGGCGTTACGGTAGTGAAGCCGGTAGACATCGTTTTCGTTGCAACCGTCGCGACCGCGCTCCCCGAGATCGTCAAGAAGGGGGCCGCGGCATGGGCGAAGACGTTGGGCTTCTACCAGAAGTGGTACGCCGCCAGCACAGAGGCCGCGAACAAGCCTCCCGACCAGGAGGAGGTGACGCCTATCGAGGCGAAGGATCCGGGCCACGAGGAATGGTACGAACTGAACCCGGAGTGCCGCGAGAAGCGGCTTAAGGCCCTCTTCGAGGCGAGGCGGCGCGATGTCGAGGACGCCCGCCTTCCGAGCGGCCGCCTTTGGGGGCGATGCGAGCGCTTGCGCCGCGTCCAGAAGGAGTGCATCCCCCTGCTCGCGGACAAGGTGCAGTCCGAGGAGATCGGCAAAAATACCGGCCTCGCCAGCTTCCTGGGGCCCGTCCAGCACGGAGCGCTGGCCTGGAAGCTCCCAGCCATGCAGGAAGCACCACCCGGCACACTGGAGGATCTCGAGACCTGGGCATACATCATTGAAAACCGGATCTTCCTCACTTGGTGGGTCGAGGACATAAACTGCCTGGAGGTCTTCCACCAGAGATTCTGGGCGAGGGTGCGCAAGAACCGCGCGCCGCGACCGGGGTGCTGGAACCTCTCAGTCGCGGAGTATTGCGAAGCGTGCCTGGTTTGCCAGAACCAATGGCACAAGGCGTCGACGGCCGGCGACAAGATCGACGACGCGATCAACGCGTCCTTGCCCCCCGAGAACGGCGACCTCGACGTCGCGCTTGCCGTGGCGCCGCGTCTCGCCGCGCATCCTCGGGCACCCGCGCTCGGGGCCAACGGTGGCGTGCAGGCCGCCCGCCCTGGCGCGGCGGGCAGCTTCCAGGCCGCGCTTCTCCTCGCCCTCGCGGGCGCGGGCCAGCCAGCAGCCAAGCGCAGGCGCCTCTCGAAAGCGCAGCGGCGGCTGCGGTGCCGCCTGCGGCAACTTGCGCCCGCGGCCCCAGAGCGCCGCGGCGACAAGGGCAAGGCCGCCGGCATGGGCAAGCCGTCCGGGGCTGGCAAGAAGGACAAGGGCGCCCGCAAGGGCAACGCGCGCGCGCGCCGCGGCGGGGCCACGCGAGTCGACCAAGGGGGGCGGCAAAGGGGCGTGGTGCACCAGGTGCATGGAAGGGACCTGCCAGCACGGTGACCGTTGCTGGTTTCGCCATGAGTGACTAGGGGCGGCAGGCTCCACGCAGGGGGGGGCAACCGGGGCCGAGCCCGACAGACAGCCCCGCGAACGGCCGCGCCCCGCAATTTGCCCGCGCCCCACGGGCACCGCACGGCGCCGCGGCCCTTCAGGCTGCGCTCCCATCCACAGTGCGCCGCCAGTTTCACCCCGCCGCAGACGACTGGGCTCAGAGCCGTCCACAGCGGGAGCAACCGCAGTTTCACCCTGAAGCGACCGGCCGGGACCAGCGCCGGGAGCTCGGCCCGCGGGCGCGCGCCAGCCTGCAGAGCCGCGCCACCGCGGCCGCCGACGCACAGCCCGTGCAGGGCGACCCAGCTTGGGGCCTGCACGCGGGCGCCAGCCCGCGGCAACGCTACAGCATGGGCAACCTCGCGCCCCCGGGCGGCGCCAGCCATGGCCCGCGCCGTGCGGGCACCACCTGCAGCGGCATCGCCATGGTCGACTATGCAGCGAGGCTCCATGACCCTGCGGCCGAACGAGAGTTCGACGCCGTCGACGCGAACCGGCAGCCGCCTACTCGCCGCCGCCCGCAGAAGCGCGCAGCCAGCAGGGCGCGCGCAGAGACACCATACCTTGGTGCGCCGAAGACACTGCCGCACCGCCACGGCACCCCACAGCGCCGGGCAGAGCAGCCAAAATATTCACGCAGCAGCAGCGGGCGCTCTCTCCGAAGCAGCACGTCGACATGGCCCGGGACCGGCAGCGCTGCCAGCCGGCGCCCCAGTGAGCGGGGCCGCCCGCCGCGCGACCGCCGGCGCCCATCCGCAGCGCGCTGCTCTGGGCGCGCGACTGCCCCGATTAGGAAAGCGGGGTTGTCGGGCAAGTGCAGTATTGGAAGCGAGTCGAGGCAACCTTTAGCGACGCGACCCGCGCCTGGCGCGCAGGCCTCTCCCAGCGTGTCAGGGGCGTGCTACCGCCGGCGTACGACGGCCCGCTGCGCAGGGAGCTCCTCCTGGCCTCCGGGCATGACGACGCCGGAGGGCATCGCCGATATCATGGCGGGCTTCCGCATGCGGGGCGTGCTCCCGGACGCGCGGGTCTACGAAACCACCGACAGCGCAGACCCACCGGGCGCCGCGGAGCTCAACGGCGCTCTCGAACAGGCGCTGGACAACAGGGATGCCGCACTAAAGGGAATGCTCGTGAACACCAAGCGGGAATCAGACATGGCCGAGGCCCTCCGCGCCACCGAGGCCGAACGCGAGGCGGGCAAGCTCGATGGGCCCTGGGAAGCATGGCTCGACGACGCCGGCCAGGTGCACTCCACCGTGCCGTGCGCCAGGTTGCTGCCAACGCGGCGCTTCCCGCGATTGCAGAAACGCACGGCCACCTCGTACAAAGTCCGGCCCGTAGACGATGCCACGGCGAGCGGCCTGAACCTCGCAGCAGCGACGCAGGAGCGCATGCGGATGGCAGGCCTCGCCTCGCTCCCCGACGCGGTCGCGTTCATCGCGGAGGAGTTCCGCGAGTGGGGAGAGGGCGGCGCCCCCCTCATCGCAAAGGGGAACCACGCGCAGGCTGACCGCCAGTTGCCGGCGCATCCAGACGACATCCCGCTGCTGTTGTGTCTGGTCTGGGGCGACGCCGTGGGGCCGGCAGGCGGATTCCGCGCCTACGCGCACATGGCGCTCCCCTTCGGGGCGTTCGGCGCAGTCTGGGGGTGCGCGCGCGTCGCCGCCAGCGTGCGCCGCCCGCTCCGCCGCGTCTTCAGCGTGCCTCAGTATGCGTGCGTAGACGATTTCCACCGCGCTTCCCCAGCCAGGTGGGCCGCCCTGAATGAGTGGGTGTTCCAGGAGCCGCACTCCATGCTCGGCGTCCCACTCAAGGACGGCAAGAACCAGGGTCGATCCGGCGGCCGTGCTGGACCTGCTCTCCACCGGGCGCGGGCGGGGCTGCGACTCACCGCCAGGCGGCGCGACGACCTGGCCGCGGACGTGGGCGCCGCGCTGCGCGCGCGCCGCCTCAGCAGGCGCGACGCGGCCCGACTTGGAGGGCTGATGGGCTTCGCCACCGCGGCAATGTTCGGCCGCGTCGGCCGCGTGTGCGCTTCCAACGTGTCCGCGCACCGAGGCGGCTGGTCCGACCGCCTCGCCGGCGCGCTGGCGTGGTGGAGGGCGCTGCTGCGCTGCCCGATCTACCGCAGGCGCGAGCACGGCGACCAACGGCCCGTCGTTCTCGGATGGGTCGACGGATCTTCTTGGGACGTGGACACCAGCGCGGGGGCGATCGGGGGCATGCTGCTGTCCTCGCGGTGCAGCGGCCGCAGCTTCTCGGCGCGCATCCCGCGGCACCTAAGCGCGGAGCTGCTCAAGGTCGGCAAAAGGCAACGGAGCACCCAGTCCGAGCTGCTTGCCGTGCTCGTGCTGCTCCTGACCTGCCCCGACGAGCTCCGCGGGGCCCGGCTGATCCTCTTCGAGGACAACGCGCCCGCGCTGGAGAACATCCTCAGCGGCGCTGCCAATGACGACCGCAGCAAAGATATTGTCGGGGCGATCCGGCTCCTGCTGGGGGTCCTCGGCGTTGAATTGTGGATCGAATGGGTCGCGTCCGAGAGCAACCCCGCGGGCGCGTTCTCCCGACCTAGAGAGCCAGAGAAGCAAGTCGAAGCGGCAGCCCTGGCGCGGCGCTGCAGCCTCAGCGCGGCAGAGCCGCGCTTCCCCGCCTCGTTCCGCATGGGCGCTGGGGCTTGGGCAGCGGCCGTGGCGGCCGCCAAGGAGGACTGGGCGCGCAGCGACCGGCGCCGCCGGGCCCTGGCGGCTCTGCGCCTGGGCCCAGTGGACGCAGGTGCCCTTGCCGCGCTGCTGGGCGCCATCGCGTTCGACGCGGATGACAAGCAGGTCGCGCTCGGGTGGCTCCGCGCCCGGCGCGCTGGCGTCGTGGCTGCCGCGACGCAGTGCCACGCCGAGCTGGTGCGCCTCCTGTGCGCCGCAGCGCGGCCGCGCGCCCGCGCCCGTGGCGCCGCCGCCGTGGCCTTACGCCGAGGCGCGCCGCCGCGCGCCCTGCCAGGAGCTGCGCGGTGCAACGCAGCCTGCATCATCCGAGGGGCCTGGCCGCAGGCTCACTGGGGCGGCCGCCGCTAGCGCCGCGACTGACGGGGCCGCGCAGGCGCATGGCGCGGAGGGCATCTTGGAGGCGCAAGAGGTATATCCGGTGGGGGGCGTTCGCCACAACCAATGCAAGGGGGGGCCCTTCCCCCCTCCCCGCCGCCCCCGGCTCCCCTGTCTCCACCCCGGGACCGAGCGGCTGCGGCGCGCGTCCCCCCACGGCAGAAGCCCGCGGCATGCGGGGCAAGGCGTGTCGGGGGGTAGCTAGAGTGTAACGGCCAACGCAGCAGATGGCAGGCGGCCCTCACACTACTTTTGGGGGGCGGGCCGGCCTGCGTTCTTCGAGGACCCGCGCATTTGATGGGGTACCTCGCTGCGTGTTAGGCTCGTGGCACCTCCCCTTTGACTTGGCCACAGAAAGGTGCGCGCCCACCTCCCCCTCCCCTCGCTCGCCCCTCCGCCGCCTGGACAGGTCCCAGCCGCCGCCGCGGTGCCGCGCCGCGGGGCCTCGAGGCGCGCGGTGGGTATGGGCCGGTGCCTGCCCCTTGGGGGCTGGGCTGGGCCCGTCACCATCGCCGCCCGAGGGCCCGCGGTCGTGGCTCCGCGGGTCGGGGGTGGCGGATGTCTCTGGACGGCGCGTGCGCAGGAGCGTTGTCGGGGGATCGGGGGGTGCGCGTTCTGGTGGGCCCCCCCCTTCCGTTGCGCCCCCCCTCGGCTGGTTTCGCTTGCCCTGGCTTTGGGTAGGGTCGGGCAGGGCGCGCGTGGCTGGCCAGGGGGTGCCCGTTGGGGGGGGGCCCTGAGTTAACATGACCCGAGAGCCGTCTGTCTCGGAAGCCGCGCCGAGGGCCGTGTCGGGGGGGGGGCCTTCGGAGTCTGAGAGCCGCCCGCCCGCGCCATTCCGCCGCGGCACCCCCCCCCGGTTCAACAGCGGCCCTGGGCTGTCCTGACCTGGCCTTCGGTCCGCGTCGGCGGCCGGCAAGTGGATCGAAGCGCGTTCTCGGTCTGCCGGCGGCGCATCGTGGCCGGTCCTCGGATCCGCGACACGCGCCAGGCAACGGGCCCAGGGCGGCCCAGAGTAATCTAAGCCCGGCCTTTCGGCCCGCGGCGGCAGCCGCCATGTGGATCGAGCATGTTCTCGGCCCCGCCAGCGGCTCGCCGTGGGAGGTCCGTGGGCCCGCGGCGCACGCGGAGCAATCCAAGCTTGGCCTTTCGGCCCGCGGCGGCGGCCGGCAAGTGGATCGAGCATGTTCTTGGTCCCGCCGGCGGCGCGCCGCGGACGTTCCGTGGGCCCGTGCGGATAGACCGGCGAGGAGCCAGCGCGCCCTCAGCTGCGCACGCCAATCAAGGCATACCGTGCTGCCCCAGGCCAGACGGCCCAGGGCGGCACAGGCCGGTCATGCAGGGCCAGTGTGCTTGGGCC